ACGAATCTGTGACTCCTTTTTCCTGAAGACAACAGAAGATGGCTGAGTCGGCTATTTTTCAAAGCTTTTTGAGCTGCCCCGTTTGTGCTGGAACGCTGAAAGATCCCGTGTCTCTGAGCTGTAGCCACAACTTCTGCGCCAGCTGTCTGCACAGATTCTGGCAAGAATCTGGGAGCAAAAACTGCCCCGTTTGTAGAAGAAGATCCTCAAAAGAAAGCCTCTCTGTGAACTACACTCTGAAGGGACTCGCGGACTCTTTTGCCGGAAGACAAGCGCCTGAACCATCCCCATGGCTCCAACCAGAGCAGAAGCTAATAGTGGTGTGTAGCATTCATCCAGACGATCCAAAATACTTCTGTAAAGATGAGCAGAGAGCTGTGTGTCACATGTGTGAGTTCACTCTCCACCAAAACCACAAAGTGGTTCTGATAGACCAGGCGATCAACGAGCTGAAGGTGCTGCTCAGGTCTGATTTAAAGTCTCTGCAGGACAAGAGAAACTTGAACATGCAGGCAGAGAAAGCCTACAGCGACATGGCAGAACACCTAAAAATCCAGGTGTTGACGACTGAGAGTCAGATCAGGGCAGAATTCAGCAAGCTCCACCAGTTCCTGAAAGAGGAAGAGGAGTCCAGACTGGCAGCTCTGAGGAAGGAAGAGGAGCAGAAGGGATTGACTATCAACAGATTTCTCAGCAGGATTCAGGAGCAGATCTCCTTGCTGACAGACAGTATCTACGCGATTGAAGAAGATCTTCGCAAAACTGTCTTGCCGTTCCTCAGCACCTATAAAGCCACTCAGAGCAAAGCCAGAAGTCAGAGGTCACTGCCAGATCCACAGGTGATTCCCGGAGTGCTGGTAGATGTGGCCAAACACCTGGGCAACCTGTCCTTCAGAGTCTGGGAGAAGATGAAGGGGAAGGCCCTCTTCAGTCCTGTCATCCTGGATCCAAACACCGCTCACCCCAGTCTCTATCTGTCGGATGATCTGACCGGTGTTAAATGTGGAGAAACATGGCAGCAGCTTCCTGACAACCCAGAGAGAAACATCAAGTACGCCAACGTTTTCGGTTCTGAGGGCTACAGCTCAGGGAAGCACAGCTGGGAGGTGATGGTGGGAGATCATCCTGACTGGATTATTGGTTTGGTTAAAGAGTCCTTCGACCGAAAGAGAGAGACATTTGCTTCTGCTAAGTTTGGAGTTTTAGTTCTGGTGCATCGCGGTGGAAAATACTCCAACGGTGCGGGCAAGGCGGTGACAGTCAGGAGGAATCTGCAGAGGATCAGAATCCATCTGGACTACGAAGGAGGAGAGGTGTCCTTCTACAACTGTGAGGACCGGAGTCTCGTCTGTAGTCACAGAGACACCTTCACTGAGAAACTCTTCCCATACTTCTGCATCGGAAAGGCCGGCGAGGTTAAAACATCTCATGTTAAAGTCTGTAAAACGTCTCCCTGAGTAATAAAACCAGAGTCTGACAAATATACTCCATCGGTAAACAGAAAATATCTGTGGATACTACATGCAAATGTACAATACTACAAAAAAATGTAAAAAATTAAGTACAAACATAAAAATATCAAAATGTTAAAAATAAAATAGGGAAATGCTGGTAGACTTTTTAAAATGCTTTTCCAATTATCTAAAATTTCTAAGCTTTTACTAGTGACTATTATCTAAAAAATAACTTTCACTTCTTAATATGAAACATTTATTTTGTTTTGTTTATGTATTAGTTTGTTGTGGTGGGTTCTTCATTTTAATGTCATAATGAGATTTTCAAAGTGTTTGTGATGAAATTCTTTGCATTGCTTTGTTTAATACTTGTATAGATTATTTTTGCTGAAGACGATTCAGGGATTCAGATGTTTTATTTTAATGTCAGACCTCCAAGCTTGATACTTTGGTGTTGTTAAATGGGACTGCTTTATTGGGATCTGTATGTATCTTCTCTTTTATTTTATCTTATTAAAAGTTTAGAGTCTCCTTATCTGTGTAGGATAATGTTCTTAAAATTTGTTCACTGATATTATTGCTCCTAAACTAAGGAAGTAAATCAAATTTTAATGTTTCTTGTGGATTTATTCAGTTAAAGTTCATTTAACAAGACAATTACCATAAAAGGCTGAAAAAATAAAACCAGATGGACCAAACTAGTAATTTTTCTATTTCAGTTTTGCTTTTGATCTCTAAAGATGAAGCCTGAAGTAACTTTATAATCAAATTTGCACCAATTCTACTGTTGAATGTGTTATTTCTTACTGAAAATGTACATAAAGAAAATAACTGCCTTCCATTGATATAATGGACTTTATATAAACATTAAACATTACAGCAACTAAATGGAAGTAATTTGTCTTGTCTTGTTATTTTACACTTTTTATGATTCTATTTTGACTAAATCTTAAATGATCCAGGTACTAAATATTTGGGCAATGTTTACGACCCCTGCAGGGGATTGTAGACGCTACGTTTTGAATCATGGTGAATTGAGTAGCTGAGGTTTTTAACTCAATCAAAGCACAAAATAAGCAGACAGATCTATTTTTTGTTAGTTTGCTGTGCCTGAATATCAGGGTTGACAGATCAAACAATCGGGGTAATATTTAAATATTAAAAAGGAAAAATTAAATACAAACCAGATGAAGATGTCATATCAAGTTTGAAACATGAGCAGATGGGGTTAAATGGTGAGATTATTGTGAACAAGAAGAAGCAGCAGAATATATATTTTTAATTGTTAAATATCAACAGGAAAAGTAGATGATGTATTCACCTAAATTACTCCATATTATTAAGGAAACATCTGAAAAACACATAGATATAAATGTAAACATCAGTCTTCAAACAACTTTAAAATAATTTATTTCAGAATATTTCTGAATTTATACTGAGTAGATTTGGTTTACGTGTTTATATATCAAAAGCAGAAATTGAATATTTAAAAGGAATTAAAAACCGTCGTGTTCCACTTTCCACCAAATGGTGGCGATAACGCACCTGTAATCAAAACAAAGGAGAAGAAGAAGTCGTCAACCGGAAATGACATACTAGAAGCTGGTGCGAAAAAAGAAAACAACTACACTAGTTATTCGCAGGTATGTGTTTAGTGTTCAAATTACTTGTTACAAAAATAACCAGACTTAATTGTAGCAGCATTGTTTTTGTAGCTTTTTCTACTTGAAATATTTATCAGGTCAGAAATGTTCAGATCTAATTGTGCAGGTAGCATCTCATTGAAGCAGCTAGCTAACGGTCACCTGCGCGAGGCATGAATGTGTTTATATGTATTTTGAATATTTAGGTGTTTGTTTCTTGCAAATAGCGAGTGATGATCTCAGTTTTCCAAAAAAAAAAAAAAAAAAAGAAAGAAATTTTGCACAAAAAGTCTCGACGGAACCTGAAATTCAGAGAGAAATTTTATTTTCAAAAACAAAATGTAAACATTTAGCAAGGGAAAAATGTAGCTCCTATTTAGTAATGGTTTTTACCCGGTTGACCTTGCAGGATAAGAATGTATGAGGCTAAATTCAAATACTGGGCGAGAATCAATTTTATTAATGACATTGCAACACCATTAGTAATTACAATCATTAGATATTGATTACAGTTATCCCTAATAATGTAGTCACCATATTTGTGGTCAAATGTATTGTTGGCTATTCAATGAGGGATTGCTGCAAAGTGGTTGTTGCTATGTACTTGTCCAGGAGGAGTGAACAAAAGTCATTGACCGGATGCAATCTACTAGGTTTCTTTAGAAACTTTTTAAACTAGTTTAAATAATAATTCAGGATTATTGTGTGCCATTAACTTGGAATCTGTGTGATTGTATTGAATTGACTTTTATTTTGGAAAATGCCTTCATATTGGCACAATATAAATTAAAAAAATGAATTAAATTGAATTTATACAATTTACATTGAAACAAAAATACATTCAGCCTGAACCATTGTGATTAATCAATATATGAAGCAACTGATGTTAACGTAAAAATGGTTGGTAGTTTTTATTGAATAAATAATCAAATCAAATTATTTTTGAATATAAATAGCTGAAAACAATAACTAATAGACTACTTAATTTCTATTAAAAAATCTTTGATTTAATTAGAAGCAAAACTATGAGTGTGGAGAAAGACGAAGCCAGTAGGAAGATCCCCAGTGCAGTAATGGGAACATAAACAACAGCTGCAGATTCTTTGATAGCAGCATGGATAATTTCTTGGCAGAGCCACAGCTCTTGATATTTAGCTTAAAATGGTAATTAGAAGTTGCCACACGTTTGACCTTTTCCAAATATGCAACCTCACGAAGTGTGATTCAGTACGAAGATGATGCCATGTAAGGAAAATGATCAGAGACAGTGACTTGAGTCTGAGATGAACTGATAAGTATTAACTCTTGCTCTCCAGTTACTCAATAAGCGGCTTTGTGAGCTACAAACTGCAGCTGGTTTTACTGTAAAGGCACATGGAGTATTTTAATTTATAATTGCTTTTCTTCTTGTATATCTCATCGCTATAAAATAGGAAACTCAAAGCATCTAACTGGATGGTCATGAAATACGATGGACAACTCTGCTGCAAATAAGAACCACACACAATGTTCAACATGGTTGGACCAGAATGGCTGGTCCACTACTTCAGCTCAAGAACTTCCCATGAACCTTCACACTAACTCTCAGGCTCTCAGTCTGGGTTCTACCTCCGTCCAGAGATCGCTGTTCGGCCACCTGGAGACGTCCAATCAGAGCTGTATGAACAATCTGAGCAGCTCGTCCTCCAGAAACAACAACCTGTTAAAGGCTGCCAACATGAACAGCATTTTTTCTTCCAACTCAATTTTTCATAATCCCGCCATCGCTACTGCATCTCATGGGATGACCTTTGAGCAGCAAACTCTTTACACACCTTCTGGGTTGGAGACAACAAACCAGGCGAAAATAACCCCTACACAGACTCTTTCCCAGCAAAACCAGAGTCCGCTGCCTTGTGGGGTCCAGAATTTACCTCTTCAGACAACCAATTACAAAATGTTTCAATCTCAGTTGCCTGGTCTTGGCTTATCACATGGTTTTCAAAATCAGTCCTTTGGTTTTTCATCTTGTGGACCGAATGTTAACATGCCTCAAGCAACATTTGGAGGACAAAATAATGGGAATAGATTCTCAAACATCTCTAATTCAGCCACTTCCACGGAGCAGCATCAGTGGATACCTTCAGGTGAAGCTGGTCATGTCGACAAACCGCCACTGCAGGAGAACGGTTGTCCGCCTTCGGTAAGGATGTGATCATTAAACTGTTTATCTCTCCAGAAGATGACAGGTTTTTTGTTTTTTTTTTAAAAAAAGAAAACTTTATTTTAAAGCATTGAGCAGACTTTTTTTTTTTTTTACATGTATACTTATTATTTTTCTTTGCTTTCAGACTGAAGGCAACAAAAGACGTTCCTCAATTTTAAATCAGCGTGCACAGCTGCTCAAACAGCTGGAAAACCTTGATAAACTTGTAAGTATACAAAGGTTAAAAGACGGTTATTGTTATTTTTGTCCAGGTTTCGACAGTTTCAAGTAAAGATGATGGGTAGTTTTAACTTCGTATTGTTTTTCTTATTAAGCTGGAGTCAATGCCTTCAGATGATGAAGAGGAGCCTTCAAACAACGATGTTCAGGTAAGTTATGCTTTGTAACTACCTTTTAAGAACAAGTAGCTCTATATTTATTGTAAACTGTTTACTGCTGGTTTCTTTAAAGGTTATAGATCAAATGTGAAGTCCAGTTCTTAATCACAGAACATTTTTATCTGGTTTTGTTTGTTTTTAGTCTCCACCTGCAGCAAATTGTTCCTCACCTTCACTCTGTGACAAACAGAGTTTCTCTGACACGGTGCCAGCATCTCCAGGGTCTCCAGCTGGAGCTGAGGTTGGTACCATTTTACTGTCAGGCTTTGTTCATGACCTGTACGAAGGCAGTTTCATGAAGATTATGACAAAAACTTTGTCCCTGGGGACATGTACAGAGAAAATGTCTAGTTAAGTGAAAAAATCTGCCAGTATTTTTAATCAATATTAAGTAATTATTGACTGGAAACAAACTCCTGTATCTTGCTGAAAAGTTACTTGTAAGTTTGTTTTGTCTTATTTCATGTATGCTGAGATATTTGTTTTAGAAACTAGACAAAAATACTTGGTAAGACTTTGTGTTTTTGCAGTGTAATAATTTAAGTTGAAAATGGGTTAATTGAGATTAAATATTCTGCATTCTTATCTATTTCTTAAATTAGCGATTAATTTTGCTCCATCTTTCTTTCCTGTTCCAGGAAATGGACCAAAGTTGCAGCGCGCCAGAAGCGGATTCTGATGCTGGCTCTGATTATGTGCCTCAAAGTGAAGTCAGTTTTTCAAATTCCCAGCCTGAGGATGATTCCAACTCTGAGGATTGTGTCAGTCCCAGCTGTCAGGAGG